CCCCACAAATAATTATGGAGGTGGGGGCAATCTGCAAAAAGCTGCCTTTCATTTACATGGGGACTATCTGATATACAGCTGCCACTGAACAAGGCTTAGTGTGCATTAAAAAAGGTTTTGTTTGGAGGTACCATTTCCTCCTTAATCCTGGAAAGAATTGTTTGATGTAATATATGATCTGGCATCGTTGACCATCACCTGCTAGCAATATGAGGTGGGGTGTGGGAAACTCCTAATGCAATGATGTCACATCACACACGTTATACTAGATCTTATCAAGAAGAGAGGGAAGAGGGAAAATGGCAGCAATAGCTCCATGTATTCCATCCCATAATTATGGCACAGTATTGAGGTTACGTAACCATATGGATAAATTTCCAAGGTGGTTGGAATTTCCATTACTGGATACTTTTCAGAAACATGCCAAAGGCAACTCTGAACTTACTGACATCTTGGTAAATGCAGGGACTTCTGTGGCTTGAATGATGCACAAGGTGAAACCAAAGTCCCAGTGGCATTTATCTGACCTCAAAAAGGAATGAAAAATGTCACTCTGGGTAAGGTGTGTCCTGGAAGAAACCTGCATGTGCTGTTTGTTTCAAAGGAATGGTAGTGATATACCTCGAGACAAAAATCTGTATGCAAGAAATTAGATGACTGTTGTGGAATTACCCCTCTGGACATTTTCCTCTCCTCAGCATGATTAAGAGAGTTTCATGAACACTTATGCCCCTTGGTCCTTTTGCGAAGACTTTAGCCAAGGACTATAAGAAATGCACGTCTTGGCAGAGAACACTACCACTTCTGTGCTACCTGGTCATGTGCATTTTAAATTTGAAAAAAGAAAAGTTCTCAACTGTTTCACTAATACGAATGAATTGAAATGGGTATACACTGCAAGGCCAATGGTAACCAGTCCCTCAGAGATGTTCTAGAGCTGGCAAGGGAACCCCACTGGTGAAGTATTTTGAAAAAAATCTTCATAGATTTGTTTTCTTGCACTCTCCTCTACCTATCTAGCTGATGTTTTGCTCACTGCTGGAGCCAACTTCATTCTATATGTTGATAGACTTTATATGGAGAGAGAGAGAGAGAGTTAGAAGACATCAAAGTTATCCTGGAAGGTTAGCTAACATCATAACGGAAGATTAGCTAACCTCAACCCTCAGAAAAAAGTGATAGAAAAAGAAGTAGGGGAGATTTCTCTTCAATATGTACCCTCTCATCTTGCTGTAAGCTTGTGACCCTACTCGGCTCAGAGACTGGGTTACAGGGGCTTAGAGTAATATTGCCGTTGGGGAGCTAAAAGATAACAATGCTTTGATGTGTCCTACCTTGTATTAAAATTTAAGGGCCCAAGATTTTCTGCCTTCCTTCTCGTTTTGTCCTACCCTGACCCAAGACAGTGTCTTCCCTTTATGTCAATGTGAATTCGTTTCACATTTAGCAGTAAAAGGTATCTGGCAAAGATTTTCCTAGGCACATGAGAAATTCAAGTAAAGTATAAAAGTAAAGGTTCCCTTGCTCGAAAGCCAGTCGAATCCGACTCTAGGGTTGCGGTGCTCATCTCCGTTTCAAAGCCGAAGAGCCAGCACTGTCCAAAGACATTTCCGTGGTCATGTGGTCGGCATGACTAAACACCAAGGCCCACGGAACACCTTTAAGTAAAGTATAGTTAACTATTAATACAACTTTAATTTCCCATTCTGGATAGCAGAGAACATATAAGTTCTGTTCAGTAGTGGTAAGGAGAAAGTGTTTTAAATATGCAAAAACCCAAATGACTTTATGTTAGAGTTCTTGATTTAAGGCAGAAGGTGCAACCAGCAAATAGATGGGAGACGATTCAAATTTCTGGAAGAAGAAAGTCATTCCTAGGTAAAGAATGGGACCAACAGATGTATTGCAGGCAAAGTTCTGTTTAGGGATGCTAAGTATGGAAAACAACTTACACATATCATGTGCAACCTGCCTCAGAACAGGGTAACAGTTTCATAAAAAGCTCCTAGTCCTTGTGATTAAGTTGCACTCAGTGGACTGATAGGGTTGCATTTGTTTAGTTTTGCTTTAGGTATTTGACATGTGAGGGCTGGTTCATTGTTTATATGGGTGGAATTTGCTTGGGAAAATAAAGCATGAAGCAGAAGTTCACATGTGTAAATATACTGTGGACATGGGCTAGAGTGCTATGGCCATTAGAACCCCTTGGCACAATATCTGCTGATTGTTTCAAAGCTGCATTTAGCCTTCATTTAGGACCTGGCGTTTTAAAATCAATCTAGCTACTCTAGTCAATGGGCAGTTTTATATCTGGATGTGTTTGCCTGTATTAATACACATGCGAATGAGCAACGGCTAGGTTTTTCCCCTCTAGAGACAGCAACACCAAATGTGTCTCAATGACAACAGTATGTCCGCTCTTTGTTCCTTTTGCAGCCAGGCATGAACTCTGGTGGGAGAGAAATTTGTTTTTCTCAATTTCCAGCAAAAGCCTGGGATAAAATTTCAAGTGGACATGACGTGGTTGAATATGGAGTCAACTAAAAACACATTTGGAATAGATGGAACCAAGCAGTTTGTGTGCCCCTGTTGTGTAGGTGTGACTAGAACGTTTGCTCTCCTTGTACTGAATGTGTAGTTTTGTTGCCAGACTAGACGATAAGGCTCAGTTTAAATTAAAAAATCCTGTTTTGTATGATATTTTGGTGGTTCCAATTTTTTTGCTTTCACGCTGGTCCAAACTGGAGTAGGGTTAATATACAGGCATTTAAAATTTAAAAAATAAAATCTAAACCCCAAATAAAATGCAAATGGTCCCTTTCTGGTTCATAAATGATGGAAGTCTCCCTAGTTTCCCCCCCACAGCCTTTGTCTTAGAACAAAAATTGATTTATTTCTTATTCTTTCACACTGATCTGTTCTAAAGTCTCGCAGCACACTGAAGGGTTCTGAGAAATGTGGTTCAAATGGTGGACTGGTGAGCTTTGGGAGTAACTCTTGAGGGGCACATATGGGCATGGACAGCTAAAGGAGTTTAGCGAGGTTAAATGTCCGGATTTCATAGAGCAAAGAAGGAAAGCCATGGGGGGGGGGGGGGGGGGGGAGAGCAAGCTCTTGCAAGATTATACAGTACCTTACTGCTCAAACAGAGGGAAAGCTCCTGCTGCCTAGTCCAATTCCACGAACTCTTTCTATTCTTCTCCAGATTTCTTTGTGTGGTAGACTGCCGGAATAAACTCCATGTTGTTAGTTTCAGTAGAATCTCACTACTCTTACTTATTAATTTGAGAGTAAATGGAATTTTATGTTCATCATGCAAGATAATATTTGACTTTCCTCTGAATCTGTTCAAGCCCCACCTACTTGTGTAGACTTCTTTTGCTTACTAAATTAGTTTAGGAAAGAGAGAGATATGTTGTCTGTGTGCACCTCTGTTTTGAGAATAAGCATTAATTATAGGATCGCCAACATCTAGATGCGTAATACACTGTCTCTCTGTCTCCCTATATATACATATGCTGTCTGCAGATCCGTTGTATTTTTAAATGCTGCCGTGTAGAAGCTTCTGTATGTGTTCTGGTCATGTGACTTGGTCATCCAGTCTGTAGAAGATTCCTGCATGATGTTTGCACAACAGGTTTCAGAATTCAAGACAAGTTTTTATAGGAGATCCCTATACTTTTTTGTTATTTGAGCTGGAAAGGCAGCTCTGGGTAGTTTGTTGATACCGATGGATGGTATCTTTTCAAGCTTGTCAACAAACAGGGAACTCAAATGACTTTGCACTCCCCGCCCCCCACAGTAGACTGCAGTTAGTGGCCAAGTGCTAACCTCAGAGCTGTGGGACTAGCACTCACACACCACCTGGTCTGC